TTATTCAGACAGAAATGATTCTATACTTTTAGGGGTTAACGTTAAACAACAAAAAAGTATTTCAGATGGACTGAATCACTTTTATACTTTGGGAAATCATTATGGTTGAATTAGGTAAATATTTTGTAGGAATGAACTGAGTGTATACAAATATTTTCAGCTCATTTTGTAGGTCTTCTTTGTCTATAGGCGAATCATGAGAGCAATCTCTCAAATAAATATGAGTATGATTAACTTTAGCTAGTACTATTCAAAAAGCAAATTACATAGAATGATGACCAATATGGTAAATTTTACAGGATATGTCTTCGTGGATTGGTTGAAGTTAGAAATTAATACTGTCAGATAACAACTAAGTTGTTTAGAGGTTAAGCGTTCGCGTGAGAGACCGAAGGTCCCGGGTTCGAACCCCAAGTGCGGGATCGTGCACTGTTGAGGAGTTCCATACTAGGACGAAACGGCCATCCAGTGCTTCAAGACCTATATTTCTTGAACGAAATGTGACTAAATATCTGGCATTTTATTGTTTGAAAGGTAATAAATTGAACGTATATCACTTAAGCGAAAAATTGCATTTCGTGAAATACAGATACAAATTTTGACAAATTTATATTTATCAGTAAGAGGTTGTAGAAATTGCTGAGGTTAGAATGATATCATGAATGGATCAATGTTAGATCACCATTGAAAACTTGGAAGCAGTGAATGACCGTTTCTTCCTAGTATTGAACTCCTCACTAGTGCTCATCCATGACCCCGCATGCGGGATCTGATCGCAGGACATTCATTCTCATGCACGAACTCAACCTTTAAACCACTGAACGGACCGGTATCCAACGGTATTAATGTCCAACTTCAACCAATTCACGATATTGCGCGACCATCCTCAACTGTCTTCAGTGAGTAACTGCCTCCTTTTAAAATAGCATAATTTTATTGGTATAAATATAAACATATAATGAAATCCTTGCTAATATAAGGCTATAACAAATCATTATCTATACGCAAATCACATTCTTGTCACTTAGACTTCTAGTATGTCTTTTCAGCGGGTTTATTTTCAATGTTGTACAACCGCAAACTTACGCTTACTTCCCAAAATGATAACAGGTACGCTCATCTACTTCCCTTCTATCATCTCTATATACATTTAACACCTAATTGAGTTGTTTCTGTTTCCATGATTCATCTGATTACATTTCATCTCAATCTCAACATATAATCTTATCACATTGAGCTTTACTTTTCCCAATTATAACTTTTTTCTTCCATCTTCATGATGAATACTGATATTCTCAACTACCAAATTATTACTAATCACCTTGGTAATGTTTTCATTATTTTGTTTATTCTACCTCGCTGTTACCATGTCTAACAAGATTTTATTATCAAACCATTATTATTAATAAACAAAGATGGATAGTGGCTAGCAGTGGAATCCAGGACGCACGTTTCGTCCCGTTTGGGACTCGTCAGCTGGATGTATCTGCATCTCAGAGTTGTTGTTCACTCTGTGACTCCAACTCAGTACCGTTCGCTTCAAACACCATCGCGTTATCCACTTAGCATTATTAATAATCATTATCATATTGAAAAATAAGTATATATCGGTGGTTATACAACTTTCAAAATGAATTCACCAAAAAGAGAACTCATCTCTGAACTAATATTATTTAATTACACTTCTAGTCATAAATAAACCAAACTAAAATTATACCGATGATTATACATGTAACATTCATTGTCTATATAATTAGTCGTTCATTAAGACATAATGTATATTTGCGTCATTACGTAATTATAAATCACTTATACATAATGAACTTAGATTCTTGAGAGTTCACCTACAGATTTTTCGAAAAAATTTATAGTAAACTATAATACGAGTTAAAACAAATGCGAAGAATAAATCAATAGTGAAGTACTTAATCTTTACTGTCTTAAAATAAGTAGTATTTATTTGAATACATAAACATTGGCACAATGGGTCACCAATTACATATGCGTCATACAATAACAATAAGGTAGAAAGAATGCAAAGTATGTATAATAAAAAGAACAACAGAGAACAGAAGTTAGGGTATGGGAGTGAAATAATAATAATAATAATGGCAGAAACAGTAGGATCGCCACTGGCTTCTATACTGAGCCATATCTGATAACGTCTCTAACTACTGCATTGGATCGTCTCTAGGACTCCAACCATGGGGTTATGAAGGACCAACACAAGCCGGCCCTTTGTAGCTTCCTTTCATACAACGACACCATGACATACACTGACCACCTCTCCGCTCTTTCTAACCACTCCCAGAGACGGCAAATAATTCACGACGTGGAATTCTCTCGGACGACATTCGTAGAATATGTCCAAGCCACCGAAGTCGGCGTTTCAAGATAGTGACACCAATTGCATTATCATCTCTGTGCCCGAACACACAATGCCGAACCTCTACATTACTGATATGGTGTTACCACTGGATGTCAGCAATCCTTCAGAGACAACGATGATCAAACACAGAGAGTCGTCCAACATCCTCAACTCGGAGAGACCAGGTTTCAAAAGCATAGAGCAGAACTTCTCTCACCGACGCGTTGTAGATCCGATCTTTTACAGCCAGACTGACATCACAAAGGCGCCAAAGATGACCGAGATTGGTATAAGCCGCTCTGGCTTTTACTATACGTGCATGGATCTCATCGCTCACGCTACCATCAGCACTTATGCAGCGACCTAGATACACGAACTTCTCGGCTACTTCTGTCTGCTCAGTATTCAGAGTGAGTGCAGGGTTAGAATCCTGCCAGTCTTGTAGTAGTACTTTGCAATTCGAAGGTGCAAAGCACATACCATACCTACGGATACTGCCAACTGATGAAGTGCGGATTGCATGACACACACATTATCACACTAAGACAATATCGTCCGCATACTCAAGGTCGAGAAGTCTTTCTCCAGGCAACAGATCCACACCACCATTACCTACATCCATCAGAGCTGTTTCCAGAATGTCATCGATGGCAAAGTTGAACCGGAATGGTGATATTGGGCAACCCTGCCTAACCCCACTGCTCGAATGGAACGATGGAGAGAGGTGGTTGTATGCCCTCACTCTACCTGAGGTGATTGTATATAGGGCTTTAAAGATGTTAATAAACTTCTCAGACACACCCTTCTTCAATAGACAACCCCGGAGAACAGTCCTGCCCATTGAATCGAACGCCGTCCTAGTATGAAGAAACACTACGATTATTGGCCTGTGATAAGTATGACGGTGACCCATAATCCTTAAAAATAGTCGGAGGTAAGTCATCTGAGCCTGCTGGTTTGTGGCACCTCAGGAATTAGAGTTCCTCGCAGAATTCCGTCTCTTTAGGTGGGTCAGCCATCACAGGCCATGGAAGGCAGGACAATCTAATCGATGCTTTCGAGGCAACAGACGAATAGAACTGCTTTTAAGTTACCAATCACTGAATCCATTAATTTGATCAAGATAATTAAATATATCTCAATAATGATATAAATTACAAATAATCCCTTGAACATTTATTAATATGTAATATTAATAAATCAACTAATGAATTGAAAACAATCGAAAATGAAAATATATTCTTGATAATAACAATTTTTCATTATAATTTTTTTATATGATATACAAAGAAGATTATAAGCACCGTAAAATATTATTCTAACGTGTGTTTTATGATGTAGGAGTAGGTTGGAAGAAAGCTATGGGCCACCAGACCAAAACGTGGCACAAATCCATGAAGTCACTGACAAGTGGACTGAGTCATGTTGGTAGGTGTGGACTATCTGGTTGGGATCCACGAGACTATAGCAACCGATGGTTAGAGACCTTGAGTGTGACATTGGCTCAAAATCGTTTGGAATGGCGCAGGTGCATCTACTCTCTGTGTCCTCCAAAATTCTAATTTTCTGAATTCTTGTTTCCCTTTCCAAATTTATTTCACTGGATTATACTCCTTGAATAACACATTCAAACCCTAATCTTTCCGATTACTGCTTATACTCTTACTACCTCTACCACTACGGGATTTGAATCGACAACTGAATCTCTATGTTAATGTGGTATGGCAACTCGAACTGATGTACGTACCTACGAAGTTCTATGTTGTTATTGACTGACTGATTCAAACTAAACTCTTAATGTTTTGTATTAACTTGATGCTCAGATACTATGAAACTTCGATTAAAATTTAGATGAAATATACTTTAAATGCTGAAATCATGGCGCAACTTCGTGGATTGGTTGGAGCTAGACATTAACACTGTTGGATGCCGGCTCAGTGGTCTAGTTGTTTAAGCGCCTGGCGCGAGACTGACAGGTCCTGGGTTCGAATCCCGCGGGGTGCAGGATCGTGAATGCGCACTGCTAAGGCGTCCCATACTAGGACGAAACGTCCGTCCAGTGCTTCCAGGTTTTCCATGGTGGTTTAGCTTCAATTGACTCATGAATTCAACAAGTGAAATTTCTAAAAAAAAATCTCCACAAAACCCATTCTGAAAATATACTTTAATCAAAGTAACTGATTGAATAACACATACCTGAATGTTATATCTATGATATAATAAAATAATTTATACATCAATACAGAAATCAGTTTAGATTTTAGTAAATGGAAAAGAAAACAATTGTGTTCTAATATCATCGGTTGAAACAGGTTTAAGAGTGTTGTATTAAAAAGAGAACAAAACGACTACGTAAACTTACATGATGTAAAAGAGGGGTAAATACAAAGTATGATTGAAATGATCAATAGTTTAATGAATTAGAAATTAAGAAAGTAATTTGAATCAGTGATTGACTGATACAATGAGCTGATATCGTGTAGGCATAAAAAATAGACGAATATCATTGAGTATTTAAAGAATGAATATTATGCTCTGTCTAACTGATTAACAGAGGCAATACCAACGATTGTGTGTATAAGATGTTGGTGATTTACAATAGTAATACATACATAATCAACTTTAATTAGGATTATTTAGAGTGGAATGCTTCAATAATTTGTATAATTGTAGCAATTAAACCACCAAAACAACTTAAAAGACCAATGGATATAAAGATGATATGTTTAGTAAATACTGTTAACCAAAACCATGAGATTTGTTGACGATCAGGCCATAAGAAAATTATTTCTAAAGTAGCAGGTAATATAAAAGCAAGTGTTGATCCAGCCAATGATCCAATCAATGATAATAATAAATCTAATCGAGGAATTAAAACAGCTGCTGCATCTGGAAATATAAAGGACAATTTGAATTTTCACAATGGAATCAGATTATTATTACTATTATTATTATTATTATGAAGTTCAAAGTGATAAGAAGCGGTTTCAAGCAAGAGATCAACATTATGTAGGTATTCGTGAGAAATGAGATAGGAATTTTCCAATTCTAGATTTTAATTAATACTGTTAGGCAGTTTGAATAACTTTAATTTGAAGATTGATTTAGTCATTGAAACAATTGGAATAAAACATTCAATCAGTGTTCTATTATAATTTTAGGTTGGTTTAAAATGTTTCGTAATAAACGGTTGTTTCTTTTTTAAAATAATGATAAACCGGGTGTTGTATGATATTCCTATAAGTCACTGAAGTAAAACGTAGTAAGTGACCAGAAGTGTCAACCGTTAACTTGTATGATGTTAGCAATAATGCGCCCTTACTACCGTGTAATATAGGTGAATAACATGAAACACTAAAATCATTCTAGATCATATGAAGTAAAATACCACATTCAATATGTGACAATATCCCTTTAATAGAAGTAAACAATGGTTAGGGTATATTGTGATAAGTAACATTGGCTTTTTAGCTGCTTCCTAGATACCAAGATGCTCTCACTATTGCATCAAAAACAGAAGACAAAATGTGATAACTGTGAGAAGAGGTTTTAATTTCACTGTTGGTTTAGGTACAGAGAACAGATATATAGCTTTATGTACAACTCTAATATTTTAGAAGCATCCTGGAGGCAGCAGCCTCCTCTCAGCACTTCTGGGTACCAGGGTCAACCTTACTAGCTAACTTGGGTAGTTGGCGGAGATAGGATTAATCCACCACTCTACTGTTACTGCATTTACTTGGGATACTAATCATGAGGCTCTCAAAATCTTGCAGGCTGCCCGATGTGTTTGCCTATGTATATAAATTCCATGAGCCTCGGCTTGTGTTGTTGTGTATGGAGGTATATAAAAGGGTATGCACCGGACTCGCAAAAGGCACGTAAGCTAAAATGTCTTCCTATGTCTAATAAAATCAGTGGCCTGAACCAGCGGGTCGAAGGTATAACAAAAAGAAGTGGCAGCAAATACTAAAAAGAAAAGACTACCAACCCACCCTGAGAGTGCGTATGATTATGTTTATGTCATGAAGTGCATTGGAGAAAGTTTATGTACAACTGGTATGCGTAGGAGACGGCAAGTTGTAAGAAAATGTTTGAAGGTAGCGGTGACCATCTACCACCCCAGGTGAGAAAATATACTTATACGTATGACATGGGATGAATGGATGAAAAACCGGTATGTATGTGATGTATACTTGTCCCTGGTGCGACGTCTGCACGCCAAAACCCAGGGGTAACGATTTCTCTAGAGCAATCACATCCACGTGATGGGTTTGTATGCCTTGGAAAACGGAAAACAATTCAAGAAAAGCCACTTAGGCTTGACCAACCTAAATCCTGAAGTATGCTAAATTATTCACAGAATCGATAATTATCCTGTGTGAACATGATAATGAATCTGTCGTTTTTCTAATACTATGATAAGTTCCTACTGAACTCAGTGGACGACATAGTTCCAGTAATTTGTGAAGACTTTCAGAGAAGTTTTCTAGGGCTTCCAACGCACGACAAGTTAATTAAAGTTGTAAACGCTGACAACTGCCAAAAGCGACTAAACGGTCATATAGGATTTCGTATCAGAAAACGAAAGAACTGTGCAGTAGAAGAGGTGTATCATCCAACAAAATAAAATTCTGATATACAAAATAATGAACACAAGAATAAACATTACTAAATATTTAACAAACAACCGGTTTGGATATATGAAAACTATATGTCATCAACTCCTTAATGAAATTAATGATTAACTATCACGGCTCAAATCTCATTCGGTTCTATCAACTCTTTTCACAAAATCATGCGAGAATCTTCTCGGGAAACGTTGGTAAAACAACGATGTATTTGAATTGATTTTTATATTTTTCCGTTTCCCTGGAAACCAGATTCCTCTTCCGTCTATAAGACATCCCTCTATTATTTCCTGATTGTTTAATAACTATGTATACTTACATTTCGTAGTCGCGATTTCCGTAATATTAGTTTCCCAAAACAAGGTTTATTATGTAACTAGTTTCGATTCATACAGTTTGTGTTAGGCTAAGTGATCTTATCATGATCATATTGAAGTTTAAATGTGTAACAACTAAGCTACTACTTTACAGTCCGACATAAATCTAACTTCTTTACAAGCAACCACACCACAAATAATATCCGAATAATTATATTTTTACCACTTTTACTAAAATGACCCACCAATTCAACATGATTTGCATATCATGTGGTTCACTAAATGTTTTGTATGAAACATTCATGTAGCAAGTTATACCATTCTACTACTGGTAAATACTATCAGTACATTTGTCTTAATAATTTCATTACACTGTGCTGATATATAGTGTGATAACTTGAATCGATGCACAACATTTACCAGGTTCAAGGTTGTTTACGACTAACTAACAGCATGACAAGTGACATTCGAATAGAACAGCCAGTGAAATAAATGGAGTACGAATAATACGATTATTCTTTTCTACGAATTAAATACTTCATATTTCTCATAATTACAATATTAACTTACATGAGAATATAACCAGACTAATTCGCATTAATTTCAAATTAATATATCGTCGACGACCCGACGCTTCATGATGACACGTTAATTTCTCCATTAATCGACTGAATATTTGTGCTGGTACATAATATTGTAATAAATAACTGACAAACATTGCTATGATAAACAATGGTTTAACTGGAGCAAACCAACTATAGTGAAAAATAATGGGAGATATAATAGGAAACAGAACGGTGCATTAACAGATCACTAGGATAACAAAATACATAATATGAAAGACGAATAAAGCAGCTGAAATCTAAAATGTTGTCAAAATTCTACAAGATAATTGAGAAAACTAAGATCATCAGTAAGCTTAAAAAATATCGTGACAAGCCGAGTTCAGACGGATCATGTACTGTTCCAACGTCAGACAGATCACTTACTTTTGCAAAGTTGCATGGTGAAGAGAAGTGGAAAAGATAGGTAGGTCAATTCGTAGATGAGTCTACTATTTGTCCAGCTGAGCCCCACATGTCTCCGTTTGAGTGCAGACATATATATATATATATATATATATATATATATATATATATATATATATATATATTGATTCGGTTCTGACAGTGAGGCAATTTACGCGGACTTGCTGTACTTATTCAGCACAAATGGTTGGATAACTGTCAGAAAGCCTCTATGTTTCCCTGTCACATAAATTGCAAATCGAGTGAGACTAGAATTATATCACTGGACCCTAATCCAGTGGAAGTTATGGTTAAGTGTTTGCACAAGACCTAGACGGCGTATTATTTATTTGAACACATTAATACTGGTACAAGGAGGCACCAAATACATATGCGCCACACAAATTTCATTTGATTTGTGTGAGGGCTGTGATACTGTCCGGGTGCCCAAACCGAAGCAGGTCGTTTTCTTAGAGGGCCACACCCGAAGCCTTCGACCTTAAGGGCTGATCCACAAGGCAGTGGAGCATCGTGAGGAGATGCAGTCACATGGTAGCCGATGACCAACGATTGGTTCATACGCCAGTTGTTCCCTCAGGATAGGAATCAGGGTTTTCAAACTCCCCTAGGTGGACTCTCTGTGTCCACCGACCCGGTTAAAGAGCCAGACATTCGCTTTTCGTCCTCTCAATTTCGTACACAACACCCGTGCCACGAGAAGCCAGTGAGTAGGACTTCCCTGGTAGTAGTTTTATGCACGTATCCATGTGAGAGCATTTCGTGGGGGAGAGCAGAGTCTCCCCACTCTTGGCCGTATCAGGGCATTTGGGGGCGATCCTGACAGTATAACTCGATTGAATCATCTAGACAAACAAGACTGTATATCCTATCAGAATAAGTTATGGTTGGATACTAGAGTTATATAGAAGACTTCATTAGGATTGTATAACTACCAAAATTTTATAAGAATAATATGTCATCAAATAATAATTTAAGGTGTAACTAATCTTTTAAGGTCAATCAAATTGTCATTTGAATAGTCCATTGAATTATTTTTACAAGATCATTTATGAATATAAACAAACAAACAAAAAAACAAAATAATTAATGTTTATCATATAGAATTTCCTAGATAAACTGCTAGTGTTTCTATTCATTTCAATTAGATTTAATTATATAAGTTAACTAAACTTTGGAATGTTAACAGATATAGGTTGGTACAGTGTGAATGGCAAACCACTTCAAAAGAATTTACCGAATAGTATTATATAATATATTACAACACAATGTATGAAATGAATAAAACAACAATATACAAATTTAGAACAACATAGATGTAAGCGAACAATATTGTTTCGAATTGGATCCTCATCAGGCTTTACTCTAATATACAGTAATATTTATATATGCCTATACGAAATGATTAAATCAGTTAAGATAGATTATGAGTCAATGATAACAATGGAAAAGATTACATAATTAAGTGAAAAGTACAAATTGATAGTATGAAGTAATCTATAAGTTAATCAGTCATAAGCAACATAGAGCGTGACACATATGTGCATCGGTCACTAAACTGTACCAGTACAAGAACATGGTGTTATCAAAACAACTCGACAGTAGTAAAAATAGTGACAGCATCAGCAGTAGTAAAAATGATTACATATTTCGACAATATGATTCGGAAAAAAATGAATTCGAGGAATAAAAGGAATGAATAAAACTAATTAATTAATATATTTTCAGAATGGGTTCTGTGGAGATTTTAGAAATTTCACAGATTGAAATCATGAGTCAGTTAAAACATTAACACTGTTGGATGCCGGCTCAGTGGTCTAGTGGTTAAGTGCTCGCGCGCGAAGCCAGTAGGTCCTGGGTTCGAGCCCCGCGTGGTGCGGGATCGTGGATGCGCACTGCTGAGGAGTCCCATACTAGAACGAAACGGCCGTCCAGTGCTTCCAGGTTTTCAATGGTGGTCTAGCTTCAACTGACTCATGATTTCAATCTGTGAAATTAATATATTTGTAATATCCCAATAGGTAGAAAAATTAGATTTTCTGACGTTCCGTGACTCATTGTAAGCCACTTCTTCAGAAAACAAATAACCAAATCAAAATTAATCCAAGTTTAAATAGTACACTGGAACAACAAGAATATTGTGATCAGTCAAAAAACAAGTCTGAACAAATCAATGTCATGTCATTTCCGTCAAGGTGATTCATAAGCGAATGTATGTAAATTCGTGTGTGTGTGTATGTGTGCACTGTTAAGGATGAAGAATGTGGGACCTTTATGGTGAGAAAGGGTAGTTTAATTTAATTAAATAATGCATTCATGTCATTGTCGGCCAGTTAGTTTAGCGCGACATATAACGTGGTACATGTGTGAATTGGTTCAAGCTGGTTGACTTCATTAGTACATTTAGATGAGATTGCGAATATGACCGATTCTGAATCATGTCACCCGTCTCCGACCATTGGTTAGAATAATCGCACTGGCCATAGTCAGAAAATCTGCATCTACCAATACGGCTCAGTAAAACAGTCAATGAATTAGTGGATTAATGTGACGCCTTCGTCTGACCACCCTTGGCTTTCTTCCAACCTAATAATATGGCTCTAAATAGTGCAACGAGGTAAGGGATAGTTAGTCAAACATAACACATAACTTAAGTACCACATCAACGTACTTGCCATATTTACCTTGTACCTGAAGTCTAGGTTCAGCACACCCTAGAGTAATCTACTTTCTATATCAGTTATCAAGAAACAGGTTAAAATGTTAACACATCACAGATTTCTTAATGTTTGTGAATAAATACAGCAGTTCTCCATAAAAAAACATCAGTCGAACCACTAACCGAGAAGTGTAAGTTTTATGTGAAACGACATATTACATACAAGGAAATACATGATATCACGATCGTCTTCAGTCAGTAAACAACTTGAACTTACTAAGGCACTTGCGGTATATTTAACGTGATACTTCCTTCAGATTCTTCACCAAATTTTAAAAACCCATAAAATCCAACAGCTACATTCATACAGATAACAATAATCATGCCAGTAGTTAAAACACCAAATGGTAAACCATATCCAGTAGGATCAATCATTTTACTTTGAATAGGTAATACCTAAATTTGAGTAAAAATTAATAACATAACATAATGTGCGATTGCAAATTACACAACATTTTTTTATTAAAGACGGTAACAGTGGAGTTCAACATACGTACATCCTGGACAAGTGGACAGTCTATAACAGTTCACTGGCCTGAAAGCTATATAGAACTAGGGCATGTCTATCTATCACAAATCTATAGTTAGTGTCGTAAAGAAATTGTGTAACTTACTCGTTCGTTACGCTAGTGGAGAACCCGCAATAGTTTTCTTGATAAAGAGAAAGAGGAACTTCCTTGACATCACGCTTGAGCAAATTTCAAGAAATTAGAATTAAATTCTGCTTTAGACCTGAAACTAGTTCAAATTCATACTTATTTCAAGCGACATAATTCATTAGGCTGCCTGCTTAAGCATCTGGGCTACCTGTTCCTGCCATCCAGATATTTCAACAAGTTATCTATTTTTGTTTGTTTTAATATAACATTATGTTTATTAATCACATGATGTATTCTGCTGCGTTTCTGAAAAGTGTACCACCTTTCGTTGTCAAAGTTACAAAAAGCCCAATAAGAGATAATGTGGTTGCTAGCGATATACAGCGAAAAGAATGCACATTATTCAGATGTTCATTCACTGAACTGCTAACATCTAACTGACGATCACTCAATATTTATCGCCAGGACCGACCAAGAAGGAAAAAAATGGAAACTTGTTGAAATACTCTACGCTGAGAATTCTATATTGTACCAAAAATATAATATTGAGTAAAGCTGATAATAATAATAATAATAATAATAATAATAATAATAATAATAATAATAATAATAATAATAAGTATATGCATGATTTATGCTGTAAGTGATAGGTTAGCGATGATTATAAAGCCGCAACACTTGACTTTCAACTAATGGGTAGCAAGTTCGTTCCTTATCCCGTCCATACTTGTGTTTAAGCAACCATGTGGTATCAGTAGCTCACAAACAATAGTCTATTTTATGTTTTTATTTACTGTGTATTCGTTCTGGTTCAAATGAGCACTAAAAAATGGTATGTGCCCCAGAAATATAGGAGAAAAAAAGGATTATATGTAAGTAAACAACAGTAGTATATAATAGAGTATAAAGTTTAGGTAAGAAAACACTAAAGGATATATATCTCAGATCTATTGCAGTTAATTTTTACTACATCAGGTGACTGACTACTTATTGGGAGTGTATTTACCGACGACTTGAATGATAGTAATAATATCACTTCATATCAGTCTCAAAAAAAAAGATTTTTCCATCAAGAACAATTAACCCTGTTAATGATTAGACCCAACAAGTCATTAAAGATCATTAAAAAAGTGTTTTATGTGAAAAACTATTACCAAAGTGGAATTTATTTTTAGGATTGCACTTACAAAAAATCTACGTATACTTATTGTGCATGGTTTAAACAACAACAACAAAAAAGTCATATATTGAACAAAGTACAAACCACTTTTAAAATATTTTAGATTTTGGCTAATAAAGGCATTTACAACATATATGTTTCCTCCATTTGTGACTCGTTAGCTGGATATATCTGTCAAATATGTATCCACAAACAATAAATCCTAGTACCTTTCGCTTCGAACGTCAGAGTGTTCTCCACTAATTAGTTAAGCTCAATCAACTAAATGGTATATCTAGTCACCAATAGAATTTCACAGTAAGTCCCTTAATGATGAAAGAGTTTATATGCCAACAGAAAATGATCACATTCAGATCATCAGTATCAACAAACGGAAAATACAAACCCACATAAATAATAAAAACATATGTCATTAGTTAGGTATACCTCTTAACTGACTACTTAAATTAGTTCATGTATGTTAACAACAACAAAAAATGATGTGGCAGCTGGAACAAAATGGCTATTCATTCTTTTTATAACCATTCAGAGAAACTGCATAACAATTTTGGAAACATGAATTGTGATGCTTTCTTTAATTAACATCATTAATACATGATTTCCTCTCTCTCTCTCCACATATATAATAAAATATTTGGGCAAGTCTAAAATTTATGAACGAACCAGTAAGATTTAAGATCACAATTCTTGGGATTTATAGCTTATGCTATTTTATGCGACAAAAACCCTAACTTCTAATTCTGATACCTCAGACTGATATATAACCCCGTTTTAACCCGAGTAGAGTAATTGAAGTTTCTTAAAACCACTTAAGAAACGCTTAAAGATCGTCTCTTTTACCAGTTTGGAAATTCGCAGAGTATTTTTAAAAAACAAAAACAGGAAATAATCTGAGCAAACAACTGATTCCGAAAAACTTCATCACTATCGGTTTCTAAAGTTTTATGAATCCATTGGTACTGTAAAAAAAAGATCAAATTAAGGCATTAATAAACAAATGAATGAGACAGTGGTATATGTTAGACTAGTGACATTTTGAATTGACTAAGGCTTGATAACTTTCAAAGTGTATCATTCGTAAATATGAAAGGTCTCCTACGAAAAGGATAGAAAAAAAATGTGAGATATCGAGTCTTGATCGGAGCGAGTATAGTATTTTGTGAAATATTTGCCATCTCATCAATTTTGTGTGAGGGCTGTGATACCGCCCGGATGCCCAAACCGAAGCAGGAGTATAGCACAATAAATCATATGAATATTATGAATATCATCAGAGATGTTTATGTCGGGTTAAGTGAGCTAATAACAATAATAATAATAATAATAATAATAATAATAATAATAATAATAATAAATGGCAATAAATAATAATAATATAGTTATGTGAAGATAACATGTCATAAGAGAAATTCTGTCTGGCGAAGTCTGGTAGGAAATCTATGTGGATTAAGAAAGATGAATACAAATTATGGATGGGACAGGGCAAAGATAAATATAAAAACGAATCGGAATGGGCGCGAGTTTATAAAATCTAGTTTGTTTATGAGGTAACTTAATTATGGGCCACGAAAAACAGAAGCTGAATATACCTCTCATGAACAGACAAGTCCGGTTTACGGAAGTTGGTTCCGATAGCTTTATCTGCGTAGAGGAGGCGTAATCCGTACGTAGACTGTTCGGGGCTTGACATAAACCAATTGGCCATTTTTCTGTTCCACATTCACTATCTCTACCAAGTGTGAAAGGAAAGCACTACAAATAGACTCCAAAACCTATTTGTCAAAACCGTAAAATACGACAAAGGCCAACAATGTAGTTAAAATCTTTTTGCCTAACACCTGATTTTAAAGGAGATATAACGGGTAGCATCTTAATACACCGACTTGGAAGATCTACTCAAAACATGTTTAATCCTGGTATATTGGACACCACCTATGAAACCAAGATAGTACTTAAACAATGTCAAGGATAAGATATCGATGATAAGCACTTTGAAGTCTGGATGACAATTTAACAGTTCCAGTGGAGCTACCTAAAATATCATTTCTAGACCGTGAAAATGTACCCACATGGTTGGGGTAATAAGCCACTGATTCTTATACGTTTTATATATATTGATGATTAGTTGATATAAAATAACCTGAACTGGACGATATTAAACGTTAATTAATCAATAACACTATATATACAATATCAAAAGATTAAACTAGTCTAGAAAATGAATGTAATAAATTTTGACTGACCCACGTGATTACACCATCTTAACAACCGTTAATCAGTCACATTTATAAAAAAAAATTACGTTACTATTTGTTTTAACCATATAAGTAAATCGAGAACACATGTAAACTTTCGTAGCAAGTACAAATGTAAACAAGAAATACTCCATGACCTACAAGTTTCAGACTCAAATCAGTCAGCTACAAAGTAGGACCAGACACATATATGCATCGGTTCAAGTTGCCATACCGCATTAGCACAACAAGATGAACACCGGATTCACAGTAGTTAAGTCAGTGGTAATAATACATAAAAGAAAGATTGTATATAAATATATACTACAGGAAGAAAGAATTAGCTGGTAGAAAGAAAGTTATGAAGCGATTTTAATCTCACAGTTTGAAGGGAGAAAGAGAGTGTATACACCTGCGCCACTATGATTAATTCTGAGCCATTTCACCAAAAGTCCCCAACCATTGGTTACGATAGTCACACAGAACCCAACCAAGTAATCTGCATCTACCAACATGGCTCACATCAGAAGTTAGTGACTTCAAGCACTGATACTACGTTTTGGTTTGACCGACCCTAACTTTCTTCCAACCATCCCTAACACCAGTTAGCGTTGCGCGTCGTGGTAATCGGTGTTCAAGCATACGTAACACGTGGCCCAACCATCTCAGTCGATGAAGATGAACAACCTCATCGTCTGATTTACCATCATTCCCCAATACCCTGCGTCTAACCTCACTATTACTTACCTGGTGATCCCAGCAGATGCCAGCAATATTTCTGAGGCATCTGTGGTCAAATAGTAGTAGCTTACGAGAATCTTCAACTCCTAATGTCCACGTTTCGCAGCCGTAAGTCAGAACAGACCGAACTGCTGCGCAGTATACTCATCCCTTTATTCATAGACGGATATCTCGCCTTCGCCATGGGTGACGTAACTTGGCAAAAGCCAATCAAGCTTTTCGAATCCGCGCTGAGATTTCGTCAGACACCAACCCATTAGGGCTGATCAGACTGGCTGGGGTCCGAGAGATGGTGCTACACAGTGGCTAGAGACGTTATCAGATATGGCTCAGAATAGAAGCCAGTGGCGATCCTGCTGTAACCTTCTTTTACTTTCTTCATAAAAAGTGGTTGTCTCTCCTTTACCTGAAAGATTTCTTCTGATTGTACCTCTTCGTCATTACTCTCTTTTTCTTTTGCGTTCCTTAGTTTTTTTCCTTTTTTTTTCTTTTTACTTCTCTTCGAATTCCCATTGTTTTGTGTGGCGCATATATATTGGCGCTCTCTTGTACCAATATTTATGTGTTCAAATAAATAAATAAATAATAAATAAATGATCAGACTTCTAAGATAAGTGAAGTTGTCAACGCGTTCGACTACTTCACTCCCTATTTTTAGTTCAGGTGTTGACGCAGACCAGTCCTGAAGAAACAACTAGCATTTAGAGGGAGAGAAGCGCATTCCAAACATTTTAGCATTGTTGCTTAGTGCTACCAAAAGACTTTGCATTTTATCAGCGTCTTCACTCAAATAATATTTTAACAGCCTTTGGAAAAAATATAAGCCAAGTAAATCATCACATGATATTGTAATTTAACTGAGACACACATGTGCATCAATCAAAATTTTAAACACTGCGTTATGTAAAATGTAGCTGAATAATTACATACAAACACTAAGTGTTTTTACAATTAATATATAGTAACAAGTTGTATGGATATGTAAATTTTGTTAGATTTCGACTGTTTAAAAACAAAGAGAATAAACATGGCACAATCGATTGAAATTGTAAAATGACAAACGATATTATGAATAGTTAATAAATGACACTTGACACATGACATGACAAAAAATTGCTTAGAATAACATGAAATAAGTGAGTTTAACCCGAAGCTCTAAACTATCAAATTATATATATCGTTCGGATACAAATTAATAAACAAATGTATAGACTAACACATAAAGCGTCTAACCATTTAACTCTGGTGGTTAGCCGCTAACCTCAAGACCAGAAAATCTTGGATTCGATCCAAAGTCGGATGGTAAATGGACATACTAGGACGAAACAGGTGCCTAGTGCTTCCCGATTTTCAATAGCTTTCTAAGACCAATCCATGATGTAAACTACAAAATTTAAGTCTTCGTTGGTATTTAGATCATTGTTCAACAATAAAGACAAGACGAAGTCTGTGAAAGCTTTAATAGGTATGTAAAATTTCTCAAATATGTAATGATAGCCTATTTTATAATCTAGTGTAAAAATTAATGGAGTCTGTGAAGTTGGAATAGTTGGTTTACACTGGATCACCAATCAATCAGTCAGATAAGACCGAGATAGAGGCTGTCAGACCAAACAGAAAGGACAAACTGGATCACAGTATAAAATAAATCGAAAGCTTTTATCACTAGATGTATGATATCATATCATATCCGTCAATTCCCGTGGTTAAGAGCTTGATTAGATAAATAGATGGCATTATTCCAGGAATTCCACCACAACACACAAATATTTATAAAAAATATATGGCTTTTTGATTGCTACTTGTTTGTGCGAAAATAAGCTAAATTTATTTATCATGTACGAGTCTACATATTAAGGCTTCTAACCATACTTATAATGGTGAAGTATAGTGATACTACCTGGGTAATTAAACAGCAGGCGGAGTCAGTTACAAAACTTTGACACACTGTTTGAAGTTCGAGCGGTACCAAGATATATGGATAGTCATAGATCAGAAACACTTATTCTTAGACCTAACATTCCCATATTACAAGACAAAAATTAGCGTCTCTAAAGATCGTTTTTTGTTACAACATTTTTGATGGTAAAGCAACATTTGTCTCATTGACGATTCCATTTCCAGATGTTGCCATTATCAATTTACGGTTACAACGCAAATATCATTGTAATGCAACAATCCATATTGTAAAAATACTTAAACGGTATTATGATAATCTAAAAAAAGTCATACCATTTAACGCAGAATCATAAACATCACATGTATCGTTAAAATGAAAAAGTAGTCCATAGAAGTTGCTTACGTGAAAGAGAAACATCTTTTGTTAGTGTAAAGAGATTACTGAACGTCGTTTTTTTTATTTTTTAAGTAATTTAATAACCAATTACACGTCTCATGTGCTTAGTTTTGAGCCACACTGATTACTTGAAAGCTAATATTGCTATCCATTTGCGTTGAAAAAGCAGTATGTAACATGAGGTTCGAGGTTGCGGTCTATTGACTGAATACTAAATCCTCCAACCATTGAAGTCATCAAGTCAATAACTCAATATCTTCTACGACCAAATGTTTTTTTTACAAAATAGCTTGTACACACCGCAATCATCGGTAATCCCAAAATCCACAGACATACATATACACACGAAAGTAAAACTTAAGGATACAATGTTAACAAATAAATATGACTTTTACTTACCAGACTAATTCCTTCAAATGAAAACATGACAATACTAAATGCAATTAGTAGACCATTGAAATTGGTAATAGCCGGAAATTCATATATTGAATGTAATCCAGATGTGAATAAATAGATGAATATTAATATCATACCAATTGCAGTGCATATATTAGCCAAACCGGATAAATAGGTGACTACACGCATACTACTTTTAAAATTCATTAGAATTAGTATTAGACAAACAATAAATCCCACTAGATACACATTGAGAGTTAGATGTGGGAAGAAGGACATTAAAAACTGCAAAAAACATAAGATAGAAAAGAAGTATTACTATTATATATGGCACAAAGCCTATTTACTTAAGACAATATAGAACACACTACCGCTGTTTATCAGGAAACCATCATAAAGTGATATATAGGAGACCAGGAGTATTTACGTAAAATTTAAATTATTTACAGGTTTACATACTCTGCTTTAGGTCATACTTCACGTGAAGGGGCTAGTGATACTGATCAACTGAGCAAACCGAAGTGGGTGAGAAAGCTTTTGAACTTGTGACGCACTGATTGAAAGCTTAGTGTGTTAGACACTAAGTCACGGACTCATTTAATATAAACCTAACAGATGGTTTGTAAAGATAATATTAGTTCAGAGAAAATAAAACATAAGAAAACAGACCCATAAGCTACCTATCTAGTAGATATAAAGGATGCGTCTTGTGACTAATAGCGTATCAATAAATGTCATCTATGTTTGGTCGCGTTTATGCGGCTGGTTAAATTCACTAAGAATAATGAGTTTAGGATCATGTATTGAATAATTAATTAAATATATATTTTGGAGTAATATTTATTGCTTCACTATAAATTATTGAGCTATTCTCGGATTCTATTATGCAAGCTTTCTATATTATCGGAATATTTAAATGCTGCATAGGATCTGACACTTGTAGAACATCGGTAAACAAACTAGTATATCCAAATTGTATCGACCACGGTTAGAAACATACGAGTTTCATGTTTTGGCTTTATATACTTACTTTTTCACGGCTGTATAACTTATGAGCTAAGTTTGTATGTGAGTGGATTTGTCTCCACAAAAAATATACAACTATGTTTAGCCTATATTTTAATTTGACCATATAAAAGAATGACTATTTACTGAAATATGTTCTGCTTAGATTACATTTTAAATCTAGTCCTGTATTCAGTGCATAATATTTTTACCTGAAATAGTTGATGGCGGGAGAAATTCAACCAGAAATGATAAATTATAGCATATTAATTGGGAAATTTGTTTCTTGGGATCAAAAACATGTCAGACAGGTTAGTTGGAGAGAAATCTGACAAAATGGGATAACTCAGATATTGTGTATGAGGTCTTATGACCATATATACGGGGCGACGTATCAGCACGAGTTTACTCACGAACGAATGATGCTGAGGACGCTTCCTATCATTTCGTCTAATGTTCCTAAGCCTTTCTGTAATCAATACAACCTCGACCAGAACGAAAACCAGCCTGCTCCTCGCGAGTCAATCTTTCTCGGGTTTTGAACAACCTACGAAGTATGACGGAAGCCAATAGTTTGGACGCAATCGGAAGTAGACTTATCCCCCGATGGTTGTTACATGAACGACGTGAACCTTTTGAAAGATAGGGACAACTATCAACTCATCCCACGACGTTGGTACGCTCTCTAGTTCCCAGACCTTTGTAAACAACTGACTGTGTTGTTTGTATCTAGGTAGCTACATAAGTGCTGATGGTAGCGTGAGTGATGAGATCAATACACGTATAGTGAAAGCCAGAGCAGCTTATGCCAATCTAGGCCATCTTTGGCACCTTTGTGATATCAGTCTGGCTGTAAAAGATCGGATCTACAACACATCGGTGAGAGAAGTTCTGCTCTATGTTTGTGAAACCTGGCCTCTCCGAGTTGAGGATGTTGGACGACTTTGTGCGTTTGATCATCGTTGTCTCTGAAGGATTGCTGATATCCAGTGGCAACACCATATTATTGATGCAGAGGTTCGGCATTGTGTGTTCGGGCACAGAGATGATAATGCAATTGGTGTCACCATCTTGAAACACCGACTTCGGTGGCTTGGACATGTTCTACGAAGGTCGTCCGAGAGAATTCCACGTCGTGTATTATTTACCGTCTCTGGGACTGCTTGGAAAAAGCGGAGAGGTGGTCAGTGTATAACATGATGTCGTTGTATGAAAGAAAGCTGCAAAGGGCTGGCTTGTGTTGGTCCTTCACGACTCCTTGACTGGGGTCCGAGAGATGATGCGACACAGTGGCTAGAGACATTATCAGATATGGCTCAGAATAGAAACCAGTGGCGATCCTACTGTAACCTTATTTTACTTTCTTCATGAAAAGTAGTTGTATCTTCCTTAACCGAAAGATTTCTTCTGGTTGTACCTTTACGTTTTCCCCGTTATTATTATTATTATTATTATTATTATTATTATTATTACACTACCTTACACTAATCTGGTCGTTATTGTTCTTTTTTTTCTTTTACACTCCTTACCTTTTTTCTTTCCATTCTCATTGTTTTGTGTGGCGCATATATACGTATATATTTGGAACCCTTTTGTACCAATATTTATGTGTTCAAATAAATAAATAAATAAATCGTCACTATTTAACCATGTCCGATACTTGAATCTATTGTTGTTATTGTTATTATTTGAACAAATACATATTGGTACAAGGAGGCACCAAATACATATGCGCCACACAAATCAAATGAGATTTGTGTGAGGGCTGTGATACTGTCCGGGTGCACAAACCGAAGCAGGTCGTTTTCTTAGGGGGCCACACCCAAAGCCTTCGACCTAAAGGTCTGATCCACACGGCATTGGAGCATCATAAGGAGATGCAGTCACATGGTAGCCGGTGACCAACGATTGGTTCATACACCATTTGTTGCTTCAGGATAGTGGAGCCCATGTCCACGGTTGGTTTGGAATCAGGGTTTTCCAACTCCCCCCTATTGTTAACGATCGGAGCTAATAAAATTTAATCCTTCGTTTTTCAGGACCGTACTCTAAAATACATGTTAGAACGTCTAGTGTTTAGACGGTATATTAAATCAACGATCCTCACTCACGGTAAAAGTGTAGCTGATGACTTAACCTCATGTAAGGAATGTGACGAACCGTTTAAGCAGCTGAAGATTAGGTCGTTTGTGGGCTCTTTTATTTATGTATAGGATTGAGTTCAAAACCAGAATTGGATAGTTTTAATTTAAGACAGAGTTTAGTAAAATAACTTTAGCTTAGTAGCAACCTTTGTTAAAGATCAAAGATGCGACTACAGAGCAACCTATCTACTGAAATATTCATTATTGGTTTAGACATTACAGTGAGTTGTTGTCTGAATCAACTAGTCCAAAATATCTGGGTCGATGCTGATCCCACTTTACACTTTTATTCTATTTTTTAATCCTGATTAACGTAGCATACTTTAACTTATGGATTGGCTTCGCATAAGAAAATTCAGCGGATGACTATGGTTTGTTCAATAAGGACGTTGATGTGGATAATCATATTTCGAAAAGTTTGCAGTGCGTTCGTTACATCATATTGTGAAATATGACTTTTGTCTGCATTTGCATTTTCCTAACTGACGATCATTGTTCATATGTGAACTATAGCTAGAGTAACGTATATTTGTTCGGTTTTGTTTTACTTTCGTTAATATTAAATACATATCAGTTCACAATTGACTGAAGAGAGTGAAATCAATGCACAAAATACAATTAATAAACCTACATATCGAATATTTTCGGTGATAAATAGGGTGTAAACACAACAAGACCCAACTTGTGTCAAAATCAAAAATCCATTGACCGTATGTCTAAAATAAATCGAGTTTGACACAACTAAAGATCAAAAACATACTTCAACTTTCCTTTGGGCTTTCTTAATCTTTCTGGACCATATTTGAGCACTAGAAATGCGGTCTCGGCATAATCCATTTTTGATCTATCCCAATTATGTCTTTATGATTCCAAAATAAACAAGTGTGATTCATGAACGCATACCTTTGCTGAACTGCATTGGCAGTTCTCAAAAGAACATGCATTAAGTAAGTTGACAAAATCCCTGATACTATAATCATAGTAAATCCAGTCTTGAAAATAAGAAAAATACAAATACAAATTTACCCACAGACCAGCATATCTCAGAACAACTGGCATAGAAAGTATCCCAGTGCCAATATTACCCTTGATTAAACTCATGAGTGCCTGGTACTCACTACAGAAAGATTAGTGTAATTTGAGTTATTAATCAAGATCACTTTATTTTTTTTCCTATTGTATGGGGATCTCGTGGCTGATTAGCATGGTCATCATTTTGAGATGTAGTGGATTGGACATCTCCGTCGGTACTCGGTTCATGACTAGCGGTCTTACAATTAACAGCCATTTTCATACAGCCCAAATATCTAAAATCAGTAAGTGACGTACGATCAGCAAAAGTTTAAGCTAACAGTAAAAATAATATTAATTTGTACATGTAACTAGTATTATCCGTCCATACATGTAACTAATGTCGCCTGTACAAATTACGTTAAAGCAAAATATGCTACTTAAATCAGAAGTCAAGAGTATCAAGTCGTTATTTTGAGTTTCCCTACCAGTAGATTATTCACAAGAGCGTATAAAATTACCTGTCTAATGGCATATTTAGCCAAGTCGGTTATAATGATAAAACAAGTGCTTTTATGTATCATTCGGTTTGGCGTAAAAAGCTAGAATGCTTATATTTTATCCGAATTAGCTGCTTCTAAGGATATCAATAACATATCTAGCCAAGCGCACCGTATCCATCAATACACATCTCATAGACCGAGTTTTGGTCACTTCTGTGTATGAGATCATTGCAGAAACAGTCAAAACGTTTGGAGTCAACATGCGAGTGATGCCTAATTCTCTGGACCACTGATATTATCAACATTAAAATTATGATTGAAATGCTAGTTAGTTAAACAGCGTGTGAGAGCAGATGGGTGAGAATATAATTTTACCAGAAAACTTAATTACAGATCCGTCCAACTTGCAGCATGCGAGGTTGTGAAGACCTGATTTAGGATTGATGCTTATTAATTACAAAACAACTAAAAATATTATCAAACAGTCAGTATCCTATGACAGCCTCATAACCAACTTTGCATTATATGCATCGCGGTCTGACCTTCAATTGACTTTAACACACGAGCCTAACGACGTAAAACCAACATTGACATTTTAATTTGTTATAATCCAGATACTGGTTGATCAGACTGGTTTTCCTTTTATACTGATCCGGAATGAGGTGACTTCGACCGCAAACAATGAAAGTTACCGTGGGTAGTTATTCAAGGTAAAAGGATTTTTCCTGTCATTAAAGCCAATTAATCCAAATCGAACAAGAGCACTGCAATCTCGAATTTGTGCTTAGTAGCCTATAGCAAGAAAGTCGTAACTTCAAAGATAACTGAGCATACATATGCAGGATCACGATACTTGCCTTATGAGGAGCTTATATGAACATCTAGCCATTATCACAGTAGAACTAGTGAAATGTCACTGGTCCCTAGCCAAGTCATCAGCAGTTGTCAAACTTTTCATTAATCCTCGTCAAGGGCAATGACAACCAACACGCATCCATTAATTGCACGCTATAGACTGGCCTACACAGTGGTGGTCCTTGGTCTTGGAGAGGATCAATGAAGTGCTCGGCATTCAGTGGCCCAACTGCCGGATGATTTGGCTAAGGCTCAGTGAAATTAATGCAATTAAGCGACGACAAAAATGAAAACAATATGCACGGAATGCAATAATAATAGGTTGCGTTATTCAACGTCTTACCCACTAGTGTAGATCGCTAACGTAAGTAATGAAAACTGAGCAAAAGTTCATTGATATATCATTACTACTAGTAAAGGAAAAAAAATATATGATGGAGAAAAATCAGTTTACAAGTTGTGTACATAATGAGGTTAAAAATACAATAAAAAAGAACCTATATTTAACGGTTCCGGTCACTTCTACACGCCTACATTTATTCCAGTCTCGTTTCCTATAGTAAGATGGAGTACTCAAAGTAAGCGTTAAAGCAATGGAAGTATTACCTGTTTATTACTAATTTCCGAGAAAAAAATTGTCAAATTTTCTCTCCAGACATCGCAAACGCTCGCCATACCTTTCAACACTTTGTTGTTTGTGCGTTTTTTGTTTCGTTGGATATGTTCATATTGTTTACTTTGTCTGCAGAGCGAAAATTTCGTGTTTACACGCAACAACCTGAGTATACTTGTAACAGCTCAGGTTGGTTGGTTAAGAGTTGACCCCAAACAACCAAGCTTATGCCAAAACAGTATTGTTCAAGTATTCATTCACTTCCTTATTTTTCATAAGCGCTATATTCCCTATTATCTTGAATGTTGAGAGCCTTTGTTTGTCTGAACAGATAATCTCACGCTCCACTGTGACTGCGCGAAGATCGAAATAAAGACCTATTCACTACTTCTCTGGTTTCTTCTATCAATAGCACGAGGGTTACCTTAAGGCACGAAACTGGTGAGCCCTTTTTGAACACAAATTTAACCTCATTTTTGTTATTAACAATTTTTTTTACTTAATCGTAAAAGTAGACCTGATTATCCGTAAACTAATTTGAGTATATAACTAGTTTATTCCGTATTATCTTAAGTTATTCGTGTTATAGTAACCACTTTTTGTGCTAACTTTATTGCTATATTTGTCACATACCTCATGTCAGACTCAATAGAAACCCATAATCTGGAGGATTTGTCACCAGTGGAGATAGACACTGTTATGACTACGAAATCCCGACTTCCAGAATTTGATCGTAGTGATTCTGAGTTGTGGTTTGCTCAACTAGAGCATTATTTCACGAGACACAATATCAAATCTGAAGGGATTCGCTATAAAGACTTATGTTCTATCCTTCCTCCTTCAGTCGCCAAAGAAGTTCGTGACTTGATTTTAAGTCCACCATCACCACAACCATACACCATCTTAAGACGAGAGATAATGAACCGTTTATCATTATCAGATAGTCAAAGAATCCAAAGACTTTTTCAAGGTGAAACACTAGGTGATCGGTCGCCGTCACAGTTTTTACGTCACCTCCAAGTCTTAGTGGGTGATAACACAGTGGGTGAAGTAGTCCTAAAACAAGGATGGATACAAGCTCTCCCATGCTACGTCCAACACTGTTTGGATGCACAGGATCCTGAAACCTCATTATCTCATTTAGCGCGTATAGCCGACAGAATAATGGAAAGAGGTCCTCCAACTGGATCAGGCACAATAAATCACACACAAAAAGTAGAATCAGCAAAAGACCCCGTAATAGAAGGACTCATTGCGAGTGTTAAGAGTCTCACTGAGGCTGTCACCAGAATGCAAATGGGTCATAGAAACACGAGCAGGTCACCACAACGACCACGATCCAAGTCAAAAAACAGGTCACAAATGTCCAGACAATCTGGGCAGTTTTGTTGGTACCACTGGAAGTTTGGTGTCAACTCAACCAAGTGCATGCAACCATGCGCCTGGCCTAAGCATAATTCTAAGACAGCGGGAAACGAGTAACCCCTCCCCAGGTCGCGACGACTGAGGAGGGGCGCCTAAACAGTCGCTTGTTTTATGTTAGAGACAGAAACTCGGGCTTGAATTTCTTGGTGGATACTGGCGCTGCTCTTAGCATCATCCCTCAAAATAAAACTGAGATTAATCGAGAAACATCATCAATTACACTTGAAGCTGCAAATAAAACTAAAATTGCGACATTTGGGCAGAAAACTTTAACCCTAGATTTGGGGTTCAGGAGGCAATTCCCTTGGGTTTTCACGGTAGCCGACCTAGATCTGGCAATACTGGGGATGGACTTTCTAGAGAGATACGAATTTCTAGTTGACACCAAGAAACGGCGATTAATACTAAAAGAAACTTCGTATTACACAAAAGGCAAAGAAAGTCACATCAACTCTCTTAACTTGATTCAAACTCCCCCAGTAACAACAGCGAAATTCCAAGATATACTCGCGGAATTTCCAAACTTAACTAAACCAAACCCACAGCCTTCTAAAGACAAACTAAAAGTGAGTCACACTATCAAAACCGAAGGTGCACCGGTGTTTGCAAAACCCAGGAGACTAGCACCAGATAAGCTCAAAATCGCTAGGGCCGAGTTTGATTATATGCTATAACTGGGTATCATCCGTCCCTCTGATAGTCAATGGGCATCCCCTTTGCATATGGTCCCAAAGAAGAATGAAGGTGACTGGCGACCGTGCGGGGATTACAGAGCCCTAAACCGTCAAACCGTACCTGATAGGTACCCAATACCTCATATCCAAGATTTCACCAACGGTTTACAGGGTATGAACATATTCACTAAAATTGACTTAGTCAGGGCATATCACAATATCCCAGTGGCTGATGAAGATATTCCCAAGACAGCTATTACTACACCCTTTGGCTTATTCGAGTTTGTACGCATGCCATTCGGTCTGAGAAATGCGGCACAGACATTTCAAAGATTCATAGATAACCTACTTCGAGATATGCCATTTGCGCAGGGGTATATAGACGACTTGTTAATTGCCAGCCCCGATTTGCAATCACACGAACAGCATGTACAAGCAGTGTTGAAAAGACTGGATGAACATGGAATAAACATACATCAAAGTAAGTGTGTTTTCGGTGTTCAAACTTTAGAATTTCTCGGTCACACAATAAGCCCAGAAGGGATTAAACCTATAAAAAAAGAAGTGGATACTATCAAACAATACCCCGTACCTAGTTCTCTAACACAACTGAGAAGTTTTCTAGGCCTAATTAACTTTTATCGCAGATTCATACCAGGTTGTGCACAATTAATGCAACCTTTGACAGATTCACTTAAAGGAAAACCAAAAGAATTCAAACTATCTTCTGACGCCATCGAAGCTATTAAACAGCTCAAAGATAAACTGGCTGAAGCAACTACGTTGATATATCCGAATTCTCTTTCCCCACTTGCTTTAATGGTGGATGCTTCAGATAAAGCAGTAGGCGGTACCCTTAACCAACTGGTTAAAAACGCCTGGAAACCAATTGCTTTTTTCTCGAAAAGACTCGCTCCAGCCGAAACAAGGTATTCTACCTTCGGGCGAGAACTTCTTGCAATCTACCTGACCATCAAACACTTCCGACACATGTTAGAAGGTAGGGAATTTATAGCCTTTACGGATCATAAACCACTGACGAATGCATTAAAAGCGAGAGCCGATAATTACTCACCTCGAGAAGTCCGACACCTTGACTATATATCACAGTTCACAAGCGATATCCGACATGTCAAAGGTCAGGACAATCAGGCGGCATATGCTTTATCCAGACTAGAAATGAACGTGCTACAGCAGTCTACAGTAAACTTCGAGACGTTAAGACACGAACAAGAGCAGGACCTAGAATTGCAAAACCTACTTAAAACAAACAATTCAAGTCTTAATTTAAAACAATTCCCATCACCTATCGATGGTATTCTAATTTATTGTGACACGACCAAGGCAATGCCGCGACCTTTCGTTCCCAAAAATATGCGAAAGTTGATATATAATAACTTTCATTCTTTGTCTCATCCTGGCGCGAAAGCTTCAACAAAACTAATCAATGCCAGATATATATGGCCGAATTTACAGAAGGATGTACACAAATGGGTTAGAGAGTGTTCAGCATGTCAACAATCAAAGATTAGTCGTCACACAAATTCACCCATAGGTGTTTTCTCGCAACCAGATGCACGTTTTGCCCATGTGCATATCGACTTGGTAGGTCCTTTACCTCGTTCAAACGGTTTTAATTATCTTTTTACATGCATAGATCGATTTACCAGATTCCCTATAGCCATCCCGATAGCGGACATCACAGCGGAAACAGTAGCCAAAGATTTCATGCAGAACTGGGTAACCATTTTTGGTACACCCATAACAATAACGACGGATAGAGGAGCGCAATTCGAATCCGAACTATTTAATAACTTGGCTAAACTTCTAGGCTCCAATAGGATACGCTGCACTGCATATCATCCTCAGGCTAATGGGATGGTAGAACGTTTTCACCGTCAGCTAAAAACCGCCCTTATATCTCACTCAAACCCCAATCAGTGGACAGAATTCCTACCAT